GGCGGGGGGAGCCCTGAGGGGGCTGGGGCTCGGGGGAGAGCCTTGATGGCCAGCGGAATGGGAAGGGGAAATAAAGCACCTCGGGGAGCCCCTGGGGAGCCTGGCCTTCAGGCTTATGTAAAGAACACTCGTTCGGTTGTTAGCGAGAGCGGATAGCTTTGCTAAACCTGAAGCGATACGGCGTTTTCAAACGTTGGCCTTGTGGCTATTGATTGATCTTGTGGGGTAAAAGTATACGCATTGCAGGTCTCCTCCTGAGCAGATTTCAGTAAGAGGCTTGCAAACGCTTCCTTACCTGAAGGTTACCCCTTGAACTGAGAAGGCCATTTCTGCGAGATTTAGCCGATCATATGATGAGATGTGGTATCTTGCATTTCATTCGAATGTAGATTAGAAATGTGGCTTTAAAATGACTTGCAAATACGTTAAAGGGAAGTTCTTGATCTTAAACAAAACCCAACTCATTAAGGACACATCTTGCTGCAATTTCCCTACGTAGGATCAAGAAGCTGTAGTAAAGTCGTCTGCCAGCTGTTTAGATAGTGCTCATAATCTACCTGTGTAAGATCTCTTAAGTGCAACCTAGTCACTAGTATTCCTGGAACCAGGAAATGTAATGCTTATCACATCAATACAGAAGCACAATTTCATTGCGTTTCGAGGCTTTTCCATCCAATTTTGAAATTATGAATAGAAAGATCGAAAACCCTTTTCAAAGAAAGCTAATGTGTACATGGAAACAAATGGCAAATTTAGATAGCATTACACAGGGCGGCTCTGTTAGCTCTTCGGCAGTTTGTTAGAGGCTGTGCTTGTTTTCAGTCTAATCTACAGAGCTGCTGGACTGCAGGTCCTGATCTGTTAAACTTCATCACGCATAACTGAGTTACAGTATGAGGTCTGGTTTGGCTTATTACGTGTGGTTGCCTTCGTCCTCATGACATTTTGGCTGCTCTAGGTAGGCCTGTTAATGTTACATGAAGGTGCATTTAATGACAGGTAAGCTCTGGAAAACACCTGGAAAGCTGTTGGGGCAATGCACTCTCATTTCCCTGTTGTTAGGAGAAACACTTGTTTGGAAGCATCTGTGGTAAACTTTCAGTTTTGTGCTGTTTTGTCAGTTCCATCTTTTTCAGGTACAGCATCATTCTTCTCATCTGTGACATTTAAAAGTCCTTGTTACTGAGGCTGCTAAGATTTATTGTAAGTGGTGAAAACTGAATGTGTTTGGTTTAGTAATGTGCAGAAATGGACTGGAATGGCTACACCAGAGCGGTGAGTTCCATTCTCCAGTCCTGGATATTCCGGTGGTTGGAACAGGGGAGTGAAAATTAGTTTATTTTGTGATCATGGAAGGAAACTGAAATAGCTTTAGGGGGATGTGATCTTCCACAAAAGTTAGGTGTGAACTAGCTGACCTTCCATCTTCCCTGTAGTTCTTTTTAAGGGGTGTAAAGAGTGGGTTCAGGTTCTAAAGAGCTGTATTCCTGTCCAGCTGATGCAAAACTCTTAACTGAATTTATCTTGTAACTGGTCAAGTTGACCCAAGTATTTATAAGCTTGTTGGACTAATGTTGCAGTGGAAAAGCAGTCATTAGCAGTCCGTTCAAATAGCGTTTGTCAAAGCGCAGCAATTGGAGATTTATCCAGGGAGCTGAATGGGGATTGGAATGGAGTCAATCTTCAGAGGAGAAGGCAGTGCATCTAATGGCTGCTGCTTCCATAGTTGCTGACCAGGTAGAAATAATACTATCTTGAGGAAGCTTTGCTGATCTGTGATTATTCCAGGAAGTTATCTGGTGCTATGAATGTCTTAAATCCAAACCACAAACCACTTTCTCACTATCATGGTCTTACTGCAGATGTTTCTTTGACACTGTAACAGCCTTTGTAGTATAGGGCTGGTTGGTTAGGTTTCTATCTCCTTTTTAGAGGCAAGGAAATTTAAGACTGCCCTAAAGGACTATGAAGAGACAATTTGGCTGTTTATGGGGGCTGTTGGGTTTTTTCCTTTAAGGATTTATGAAAGTAAGTGACTACCAAGAAGAGACAGAATTAACTGGTGCTAGACCTTTCTATGATGCATAATGCTTTGGAAAGCATAATATACAGCCATCTGTTCAGATGCAAACAATTTTAATCTCTTTTTCTCTATCTATACCATATAAAATAATACACACTGCCGTGGAAATTGAAATGGAGGAGAGATGGTCTGGGCAAGCATAGTTTACTTTGTGTGTTTGGAATACTGTCATGCCAGTTGCCTTTGCCCACATTATTAGACTGCAGCTTGTGCTGTCTGTGCCGTGTTTTCAGGAAAATTTATCAATAGAAGCTTTTCTAGACTTCTAAACGCATCTCTGATTTGAGGTCTTAATGTTTCTGCAGACCTGAAATCACCAGTTTCAGATTATTACGAAGAGGGTTTTTTTTAAGGAGGACAGAAGCCAGGCTTACAGGCTTCTGCTTCTCGGGGAAGTTAGAAGGCTTGAAGTTAAACCTAGATCAGGCCACTGGACAGCATAATGTGAACATCTCATTTCAAACAGATTAAATTAGAATTCTGGTATTCAGGGTAAAGTATCATTTTCTGCCATGGAAATCTAAGTATCTGGTAGCTTAGTGACTCGTGGCTGTGAAACTGCTCTGCAGCAGAGAAAAAACTTCAGTAGTCATTGATGTTTTCTGGACAAAAGCACTTTTACCGTTTTTCTGAGCCTTATCTCATTCTATGTAGTTGTATTCAGTAGAAGTCTCTCTGAAATTTTGTTTATGATCTCAAGGGCCATACATCTTCTGTTATTATCGTTGTCAAAGACAGAAGCGATACCTCAAAATGTGGGAGAGTAAAGTTGGAAGCCTTGGTCTTAAATAATTCTTGGTTTGCACTCTAATTTATTTGATTTGGACTGATTGACTCACATTGGCTTCAGTAGGGACTAAACCTCCTTAGGAGCCTTTGGAAAGGATTATTAGAAACCTCTGCCTTTGAAGAACTGTCTGTCCTTTGTTTATAGCATTAGGTCTCATCTCGATTGCTTTGTATTCAGATTGAAAACAAGTTGCTGCTACTGCTCCCAGTTGGTTTCCCTGTTTTTAAATGGAGTGAACGAGTAGAGCCAGAAGTGCCAGCTATACTGAGATTATGTTTGCTGTATTTGTAAATAAGATTCCAAGGAGTGAAGTTTATAAATATAACAATTAGAAAGTAAGTGATTACCAGTCTTGCACTATAATTAGCAACTTCTAAGAGAACATTTATGAAATGAATGCTTACAGTTAGAGGCTTATGTTTTCTATTTTAGTGTTCTGTTTAGTTTAAAACATTTTAAATTTCACTTCAAAAATTAGGGCTTTGTTGCCTTAATCCTATTTAGACTGTGTTGTGATGGGATGGTTTTGTTTGCTGTTTTCCCTGACAGGCTTTTATCCAAATTGAAATTTGTTCAGTATAGTCTCTAAGGTCTTTGGTGCTCTGAGCATTTCTTCTGCTGCAGTTGTGGGTAAAAAAAAATGCAACTTGTTTCTGATAAATTATTTGCATGTACCTTAGTTTCAAGCTTATAGCAAAACTTCCATGTATCTTTGTA